GCACTGAAATTCAAAATCAAAACAAGAGGCTGGGGACATGGCTTAGTTGGTACAGTGCTTGTCTAGCATGCACAGGCATGCACAGGCATGCACAGGCACACACTTGGTGTGGTATGGTACATGCTTGCAACAATGGCACTTGGGGGGTGGAGGCAGGAAGAATAGAAGTTCCTTTGCTAACCGTGGCTATAGAGTGTTGAGGCCTGCCCCCCAGCATAGCTGTCAAAAGGCATTTTGCTCCATGCCTGCCAGCAATCTCATATTGTTGCTGTAACATGCCTGTTAGTCATTGACCCAGAAAAATAACTTGACTCAGAGCAGGGCCATGCTGACCACATACCCGGTTACATTCTCTATGTTATAGGGTGTGTTAATCTTAAGAAATTCTACAACCGTAAGCTTCACGTAGACCCCATTAAATTAAAGGTCAACATGAACTGTTCTGTCTAAAATGGCTTGAGTCAGGGGCCGACCACCGGGCATCACTCCCAATACTTGCATCTGAGGTCATTGGAACTTTTGAGGTTTTAGCCTTTATAAGCTGACATAGAAAAATGTTTCGGGTCACGGCCTCCGCCCCTGACTTATGAGCTATGGCCCTGATCATTCAGTCTGAAAGTATGCCTTCAATAAATCATCCCTGTCTAACTGAGATCAGTGTTCATGTGGTTTGTGGGGTGACTCTTGGACCCCAACATAGCGGAAGTTTAGGGCAGGGACTCTGTCTCAACAACAACAAAAATAAAAATTAAAAATTAAAAAAAAATCCAGCAACAACAAAAAATCAAAAAGGAATGGATTGTGGTGGTTTGAATGAGAAGGCCCTCATAGGCTCAGATATTTGACTGCTTGATCCAAAGTTGGTGGAACTGTTTAGGAAAGATTAGGAAGTGTGGCCTTGTTGGAGGAGGTGGGTCATCAGGGGTGGGCTTTGAGGTTTCAAAAACTCATATCATTCCTAGTTAGCTCTCTGCCTGCCTCATGCCTGTGGATTAGGATGTTAGCTCTGAGCTACTTCTCCAGAACCATGCCTGCCTGCCTGCTGCTATGCTCTCTGCCATGACGGTCACGGACTCACCCTCTGAAACTATAAGTAGTCCAAAATTAATACTTTCTTTATAAATTGCCTTGGTTATGGAGTCTCTTCACAGCAAAAGTAACCCTAATTAGCCTTAACCACAAACAAAGCAAAATGAACCCAGTACATTGGGGTTGCCATGATTCATGGAGAGAGATGGCCTCACAGCCAAACAATGACACTGCGGAGGGTTCAGAGGTGGGAAGCATGTCACCTAAGCTGGGAATTCCTCTCAAGACTAGGATTTCCTGAGAGAGGGAAAATATATAACTGATGGAGGGTTTCTCAACCTCGGTCTTTTTTTGTTTTGTTTTGTTTTTTTCAAGACAGGGTTTCTCTGTGTAGTTCTGGCTGTCCTGGAACTCACTCTGTAGACCCGGCTGGCCTCGAACTCAGAAATCCGCCTGCGTCTGCCTCCGGAGTGCTGGGATTAAAGGCATGCGCCACCACCGCCCGGCTCAACCTTGGTCTTATTAACATGTTTTAAGATTTTATTATTCTCGTGTGTGTGTGTGTGTGATGTGTGTTATGTGTATTTAGGTACCTGAAGAGGTCAGAAGGTTATCCCTCGCACCCATGAGTCACCTGATGTGGGAACCTCTGGAAGAGCAGCAGGCATCCCTAAGCACTCACCCAGCTCTGCAGTCTCATACCTGTTTTATTTTGGATCATTGTTTGTGTATGTCTGCTCTTTATGTTATGTGACAGTCAGCAGCACTTGTGGCCTCATCATTAGATGCCTTTTGTGACCAAAGATACCCCAGCCACTGCCAGATGTCTGATAGGAGTGGGAGCAAACTGGCAGCTGCTGGGGAGCCTTGGTCTTAAAGGTCCCAATGTCCTCCTGCTGTGGTGTCCGGAAGGTGCTCACCACTGGGAATGTTGCTTCTCTGACATCTGTTGTGATAAAAAGGTGCATGCAACCCCCACAACCAGGCACCATAAAAAGGGGAAAACGTGAATTTCATGAACAGAAACCAGCACAGTTATGGGAATACAGAACATTTAAAAATGATTTATTTTGTATATATGAGTGTTGTGCCTGCATGGATGCCTGTGTACCACATGTGCACTGGGTGCCCTCAGAAGCCAGAAGACAGTGTCTGATCCCCTGCAACAGCTGTGGGCCTGTTTTATGTGAAACATGTGGGTGCTGGGAATCCAAGGTAGGTCTTCTGGAAGAGCAGCAATTGTTCTTAACCACCAAGCCAACTTTTCAGCCCCTGTGTAGTGTAGAGCCTTTTGAGAATATGTCCTATGTGTATTTAGTGTGTAGACATGCATCTGTAGGCATGTATTCATGTTCTTGTGTGTGTGTGTTTGTGTGTGCACGCACACACATACCTGTGTGTACATAGAGGTCAGAATCAACCTTGGGTGCTATTCCTCAGGAGCAGTCCTCCTGGTGGTGGTTGTGCTCCTCCTCCTCCTCTCCCTCCTCTTCATCCTCCTCCTCTTCTTCTTTTCTTCTTCTTGTTCCTCTTCTTCTTTGTCCTCTTGAGAAAGGTTATTTCTACACAGCCCTGGCTATCCTGGGCTATACAGATACCAGGTTGGCCTTGAACTCACAGATATTCCCTTGCCCGTGTCTCCCCAGTACTGGGATTAAAAGCACGTGCCGTCATGCCCAGCACCGTGGTTTGAATAAGCTTGGTTCAGGGAGTGGCACTATTAGAAGGTGAGGCCTTGTTGGAGTAGGTGTGTCACTACAGGTGTGGGCTTTGAGTCCCTCATCCTAGCTGCCTGGGAGCCAGTCTATTCCTAGCAGCCTTTAGTTGAAGATGTAGAACTCTCAGCTCCTCCTGCACCATGCCTGCCTGGATGCTGCCATGCTCCCGCCTTGATGATAATGGACTGAATGTCTGAACCTGTAATCTCCTCACAGCAATGCAAACCCTAACTAAGACACCCAGCTACCTTGTTTTAGGGGTTTTCCCTGGACCTTGAAGCTCACCAATTAAGCCAGGCTGGTTGATCAGTAAGCCCCAGGGATCTCCTTGTCTCTGCCTCTCCATAACTGTGTGCCCATGTGCCACCATGCCCAGATTTTTATGTGGATTCTTGGGATAGAACTCATGTCCTGTGAGTGAACTTTCCTTCGAGTCATCAGCATTATATTTTAAGTTAACTTGTTATTGTATCTGTTAATTAATTATCAGTGTGTTGGGGTCAGAGGCTGACGCTGAGGGCCTTTCTTGATCTTGCTCTATCTTATCTTTTGAGATAGAGCCTCTTGCAGAACCTGACAGTTGCTCATTGGCTAGACTGGCTGGCAGGCAAGCTGTGGGGGACCCACATGTCTTTTTTGTTTTGTTTTTGTTTTTGTTTTGTTTTGTTTTGTTTGAGACAGGGTTTCTCTGTGTATCCCTGGCTGTCCTGGAACTCACTCTGTAGACCAGGCTGGCCTCGAACTCAGAAATTCACCTGCTTCTGTCTCCCAAGTGCTAGGATTAAAGGCGTGAGCCACCACTGCCCAGCTGAACCCACATGTCTAAAGGCCTTCCTTGTATTAGAGTTATAGATATGCAGTCTTTTTACACATGTGCTGGGTATTGAACTAGGTCTTCATGCTTGTGCAATGGGCACTTTACTGACTGACCATCTGCCGAGCACCTACTTTTTTTTGTTTTTGTTTTTGTTTTTTTTTTTTTAAAGAGAAGCATAGTTAGGATCTACTGAAACCTGAGAGGAAATTGGATCATGAGTTCCTTGTCTCTACCAAACATGTTACTTATAGCCATTCTTTGAACTAGAATATAGCTCTCAAAAACTTTTAAAAGAAGGTTCACTTGAGCCATACTTATAAAACACCAAGTCTTTGTGTAACCAGAGAGAGAAAACGGTTCCAGACTGCCACGAATGGTACCTGGTAAATCAACTCTATGGTGTCAGGCCCGAGAACAAAGCTATATTTGACACAGCATAGTATGGGGTGCTGGACTTGGAGATTTTGACCCAATACTTAGAGGCTACTAGCATATTCTTGTTTCCTTTGTCCTCACCATCCTGCATCGTAGTAATCCCTTGGGACAGGGAGTAAGAATGCTAAGACCTCTAATATATTGTTTGTGCCCCTTCCCAAGGGCTTCCCTCAAGCTGTGCCCACAACCCAGGGTCTGTGTTTGCTAATGTCTGGACCAAGCTGGAATTATCACAGGCTGACTCGTGCGGGGCCACAGGTCCTGTCAGTATGTGCAAACACTAGGGTCCTGGCTCATGTGGATAGATTCCTTTGTGAGGCCCCACTGTTGATCGAATAATCGGAGCTCCCAGATGCAATGTCATGGCTGCTTCTAAGAACTGGGATGCCAGAGACATATCCCTAGAATATGGCGATGCTTGAGGGCTGGCTGACAGTTGATTTGTGGCAAAGTGTGAGAACCGAATGACCATTATTTTGGTGGAAACAATGCCAGATCGAGAGCAAAGACGGACACCATGGGGATTGACTCGTGAAGGAAGAAGCTGATGCCCATAAAGGGGTCATGGATGTAGCTTATGTCGGAAGTGTCTCGGATGGGAGTGATTGATGTATGGACTCATACCGGGGCTGAAGTTCAGGAAAATATCAATTAAAAATTGCATACAGCTAACCAGTAGGAAAGGTAAACCCAGGCAAGAAAATGAGCAAGAACCCTGAGTTCTAAATATTGTCAGAAGTTTCCACTTTATTCACTCTGCATAAACCCGGCGCCGCGCCTCTCATCCTTCGCTTACTGACTTCCTGGGTTTGGATTAGTCCTTCTGTTAATAAATAAAATTTGTGATTGTTACGGTCATTGGTATAGTTAAAAGGACCCAATCAACTGGTTCTTAAGGTATCACCCGACTTTCACAGCTGTCTCTAGGTAATATTCTCCTCTCAGTAAGTGGATGCAATGCTATGTTGTGGGAATATGCAGATCGAATCCTCTGTTCAGAGTTACCGTACTGTGTACTGTACTGTGACTGGGATCTTCCCAACTCTCTGGATGCTCCAGGAGCTTTGCTTCTAACCACCAAACAGCAATCGGTGAGGCTCTCAAAGAGCCAGGCCATCACCATAGTAGTGAGATGCTGGGCAGAGAGTTAGGGCCTGAACCTCCTTCCAAGTAATACCACACACACACACACACACACACACACACACACATACACACGCCCCTATGAGTTTTTTTGAAGGTTTCATATGACATGTTTGCTCATGCTTGCCCCTTTCCCCAGCCTGTTTATCCCCTCCCCCAGCCCTCTCCACGTTCCTTCCCCACTTTTCCTTTCTAATTTTATGTTGTTTTTTGTTTTGTTATTCAAAATGTAACCCAAGTTGTCCTGGTACTCACTACATAGCCCAGGTTAGCCTCAGACTCCTGCCTCAGATTCCTGAAAGCTGGGACTACACAAGTAAGACAGGCTTTCCTTCTCAGCTTGAAAACAACACAGGACAGTGGGATTTAAGACTCACATATCCGTACACGGAAGTAATTTATTGATTTCTTGCTCATTTCCCATTAGCCTCTTTCTAGATGTTGCCTGTAGAACAGTGATTCCCAAAGGATACCCAGTATCCTTAAAGGTGGGGTGAGGCACCGAGAGACTTACCTCTATGTCAATGCAACGAACTTGACAGATGTATTTAGTTTTAAAGTTGTTTCTGTTGCCCCCACAGCCAGTGAAGAGGAAGGGCTCACATAAGGCCGTGTCTTTGTTGAAGTAGTATCTGTAGAAATTGAAACTGCAAAAGCCTCTCTTTACAGGTTGGTTGCATATTACTGTCGATAAGAAGCCCAGGTTTAGATTATCTTACTAAAAGAATTATCACTCTTTTCTCTACGCACTCAGACTACTAACATTCTCCTCTGCCCTGATACAAATCGGATTTTATCATTGGGGAGCAAGTTATAACCCCTCAAGCATGCTCTTTGCTCTGTATGTGACACAGGACAGTGAACCTGGGCGGTAGCCTGGGTTGATGTTACAGAGGGTACTTAGAGAAGGATCACATCCTCCATCTTCCCCAATATTCCTCATTCATATTAAGCATATCACGCCCAGAGTCTCTACTTTCTTCGGCTCTGCAAATGAGCATCTAACTCAGTGCCTGTAGGTCCTCATCCATCGGAACCCAAGCGAGCATGTAACTCAGTGCCTGTAGGTCCTCA